AACAGTCATTCGGGAATTAACGCATTCGAATAAACCCCACGAACAGCTGGTGAATGGGAACAAATTACGCCCTGCTAAAACGAAGCACATTAAAGGAGCTGCTGGAAGCCAGAGGAGCAATTGTCAGTAACAAGGCCAAGGCTGTCCTAATTACAGAGCTCATGGAAGGAGACAGAGCAGCAGCTGCTGCAGCACCTCAAATGGAGGGAGAAACACACAAATTCACAGCCGAATTCCAAGCACGAATGGCTTTATTCCCTGCACCCCCATCTGCAGAGATGGTTGACAGGCTTTTTCTGTGATGTACAGGAGTACATCATGTCCAGGAGAACACCAGGGAACCAGCAAGCTGGGGAAAGAGCCGCAACGCCAGTCCATAATTTCCCAGGGAAAGCCAAAATCCCATATCGAGCCTTTAAAAGCTATGTGGAGGCGGGCGGTGGCGTTGACGACTATTTACAGGACTTCGAGGGACGGTGTTTGCTGCATGAGATTAACGATGCAGACAGAGTACCCCTACTAGCAGGGAGATTATCTGGGCGAGCCGCTGAAGCGTACCGGGCAGTACCAGACGAGGATAGTAGGGATTACAATAATGTGAAACGGGCCATTCTAGCCCGGTATGCCATCACATCAGAGGCGTACCGAAGGAAGTTTCGGGACATTAAGAAACCCACGAAAGACACCCATGTGGAATGGGCACACCAGCTGCAACGAGCTGCAAAGGGGTGGCTGGAGGCCGCCCAAGATGATACATTGGAGGGTCTGTTCCAGCTAATGGTACTGGAGCTATTCTTCAATGGCGTCCCTGCCTATCTGCAAAACTGGATTCGGGACAGAAAGCCACGCACCCTGCAGGAAGCGGCTAATATGGCAGACGAGTTCCAGGACAATCGGAGAGATCAACCCGTACCAACCAGAGCCGTCGTCCCCCCTGCAACAACCAACACTCCAGGGGGCCCCACAACTCACCAGGGGTAAGCCAGAATTCATACCCCCCCAGGTATTCAGCACGTCCACCAATCCAGTGCCATACCTGCAACCAACAGGGGCACATTCAGAGAGACTGCCCACGGAATCGGCCTCGACCCAGCTGGAATAACGCAGCCCCAAACAACCATGCCGCAGTCCACTGTCTACAGGCCGAATCCTACCAGAATCTGGAGCTGGGGACAACCCTGGAGGAACCACTCGGCACCCTACACGAGGTGAACCCCATCCAGGCCGCCTCCGATAACCGCCAAGGGCACCGCCAGGAAGTACACACGGAGGGGAGAAAAGTACAGGGACTTCGTGACTCTGGGGCCACCCTAACTCTAGTACAAAGTCATCTGGTACCCAAGCCCAAGCTCACGGGGGACTGTGTGGCTGTGCGGGTGGCCGGGGGAGCAATTTACAAAGTACCAACGGCCAAGGTGCACTTGAATTGGGGAGCGGGGCACGGGAACGTATATGTGGGGATGATGCAAGACTTGCCAGCGGATGTGATTTTGGGCAACGACTTGGGGGAGCTGACTTCAGCTTTTGTTCCACAGCCCACCATACAAGAGGCCTACCCGGTTGTGACCCGACAACAGGCTCGCACCACAGCACCATCCGATCACTCTGAGGCTCAGGTAAGCAATGACCCTCCCCTACCCCCTGTCATGCCATGGGCCAATTCTATAGAGTTTGGTTCAGAAGTGGCCCTAGATCCCTCGTTACAGGTATATAAAGATCGCATTGATAAAGATCAAGCAGGATTAGAGGGGGAAAGATATATCTGGGACAAAGGACTACTATACCGGCACGCAGAGAAGGTAGTGTCCAGGTCAATACCTTTACCCATTAAATAGCTAATAGTGCCTCGAAAGTATAGGTTAGAGATGTTACGCATAGCCCATGATATCCCCCTGTCTGGACACCTAGGCATCAGTCGTACCAAGCACAGGCTGACCCAAAATTTATTTTGGCCAGGTATCTCCCAGGATGTTAGGCGATATTGCCAGACCTGTGATACCTGCCAAAGAGTAGGCGAGAGAGGGGACAGATACAAAGCCCGACTACGGTCTCTGCCCATCATTGACGAACCATTCAGTAGGGTGGCAGTAAACATCATAGGTCCCCTCACAAAGCCAAGCCCCTCCGGCAAGAAATATGTCCTAACTGTGGTGGATTACGCCACCAGGTACCCCGAGACAGTGGCCCTAACTAACGTGCACGCAGAAACGGTAGCTGAGGCCCTGATGAGAATATTCACTCGGGTAGGATTTCCCCGGGAGATTATCTCCGATAGAGGCACCCAGTTTACGGCTGAAGTGACCCATCAGCTCTGGAAGATATGTGGGATACAGCAAATCCTGAACTCCCCATATCACCCCCAGTCCAATGGGCTCTGTGAACGGTTTAACGGAACCCTGAAGCAAATGATCCGCACGTTCATGGACACCCAAAAAGACTGGGAGAGGTTTTTACCCCACCTGCTGTTCGCGTATCGAGAAGTGCCGCAAGAATCCACCGGATTCTCTCAGTTCTAATTATTATTCGGGAGGAGAGTGAGGGGACCTCTTGACTTGATACGGGAACACTGGGAGGGAGACGAAACCATTAATGGCACCCCTATCTTACCATATGTGCTCGAGTTCAGGGAACGCCTGGAGAGGCTGACCCAGACCGTCCGAGACAATCTCCAGGTAGCGCAGCAACGACAGCGCAGATGGTACGATAAGGGAGCCAGGGACCGCAGCTTCCAGGTGGGGCAAAAAGTACTAATCTTGCGACCAGTCCACAAAGATAAGCTGCAGGCTTCCTGGCAGGGCCCATACAAGGTGGTGGAACAGATCTGTGACACCACCTATGTGATCGGCCCGGTTACAGGCACGGGAGGCAAACGCATGCTCCATGTGAACATGCTCAAGCCGTACCACGAACGTACTGAGGAGGTCACCGCAATCTGTGCCCCTGCCACAGAAGATTTTGACAACCTACCCCTACCCGATCTCCTAGACCAAGAGGGCCAGAGCGGAGATCTGGGAGAGGTACAGTTAGGGGAACGATTAAATGCCCAAGAGCGGGCTCAGGTACAAAGGTTGCTTTAGGAAAAGAAAGCCACGTTTTCCAATTTACCAGGCTATACCCCGTTGGCTACCCATAAGGTAGAAACTTTAGATCAGACTCCCCTGCGCCAACCCCCATATCGCACCCCAGAAGCAGTCAAAGAGAATATGCACA